CAATTAATTATTTATTCCAATTGTTTTTCATTATTTGTTTCAATTGTTCATTTAAATTATTTGATTTAATTACTTATATGGAAAGATTATTTAAATTATTTATTGAACAAGAAAACGTAATTATTTAATTCAAATGTTAGAAATTCGTATCAATTAAATTTTAATTGTGTATTTTGATTAATAAAATTTATTTATTTATCATTTAAATAATCATTTAATTATTATTTAAATGTTTATTATTTATTTCTTTGAGAAATTAATTATTTATTCCAATGATTTTTCATTTCAATTGTTCATTTAAATTATTTGATTATTTAAATTATTTATTGAACAAGTAAACGTAAATATTTAATTATTTATTTCAAATGTTAGAAATTTCTTTCAATTAATCTGTAATTAAATTTTAATTGCGTATTTTGATTATTAACATTTATTCATTATTTATATTTTTCTTTTATCATTTAAATAGTAATTAAATAATTATTTAAATGATAAAAAAATTAAAATAAAAAAACTATTTTACAGACGGCCCAAACAGGCAGTCTGTTAACGGACGGCCACAGACGGCCGTCTGTTAACAGACGGCACAGCCGTCTTCTTCAATAGCAGAGGCCATCTGCAAGGCCTCTACCCGGAGATCGCCATTTTCGGCGATCTCCTGGAACCAAACCTTAAAAAAACTTTGTTTTTACTAATTTTACATATTCTACAAAGATTTCTACCACTATTTTCAACAAAATAAACCTTTAACATAGATTAAAGGGGGGAAAATTATACAAAACTTACTTTCTTCGCTTCTAATAGTGGCCGGTCGGTCTCCTTCCAAGAAAAACTCGTCGGTTTCCTTGTTTTTTCTTCCTCTTCTTTTTCCAGACGTCAGTTTGAGAGTGAAATTGTATGTTTTTTGTGGCTATCTGTCACCATTTCCTCAACCTGCCAGTCTGATTGCTACACCCATTCCGGCGCCGGCCAAGAACGACCTCCGGTGGCAGAGAGCGTCGAGGTGTTGGGTATGCCAAAATAAGCCGGCTAATTTGGTAGAAGATGTTGGGTAAGTGACTCAAATAAGTAAATATAATTAAGTTGAGGGACCAATAAGACAACAGAAGAAGCATGGCCAAACTAATTGACCCAAGATTCTCCCTGGTTACTTGAAATTTGCTATTTGAAAACTGTTTCTGAAGTGGTAGATTAACAAACTGAACATGAAAATTTTTAAGATGTGTACCCAATTACTTATTGCTCGGCGAAACTCTTTTGGGATTAACTTAGTGGGAAATTAGACCAAACTTGATACCGATTTCAAAGTACGTCAACATAGCATGCTAAGCTTAAAAATGTATCTTGGCTGGACTCGCTACAACGCCAGTGTTTTGAGGGATAGGATTTGGGGTATAGGTTGAATTTGATAAAGCATGGGGCTTTATGGTCATAATTTTTTACAGCGGATTTTTTAAGAAATTGATTGGTGTTATTCCAAATGTGATAAGAGTTCTTAGTTTTCAGACCATCGAGGTAAATAATCAAATCTTTGCTGTCAAAATTAGTTTCCCGTGAATTTGTTTAAGTAATGGATTTGTGTTATTCTGAATAGCATGTCTGGGGAAATTATAAGTTACTTTTGGATAATTCTTTTTGCTTGACACTTTGGAAGTTTTTTACAAGTTATTATTATTTATTTATTTATTCTGGATTTTCAGTACAGAATCTTACTTTTTTAGGCAATAAGCAAAAGAGGTAAGTGTAACGTACCTGTTTTAAGCTTAACCAAACGTGCTGAAAAAGTGTTACGTTTGCAGCTATATATATAGTGTCTAGCTGTCCTGAGCATCTTTGACCATCTTCAGGGTGGCTCTTCAATTTGTGCATGAGATGCAACACAAAGCACAGAAGAACTTTGATGCAAGTAGAGATGAATCATTACCAGTATTTGGGGTTGGTGTTGCTTATATTGATGAGAGAGCAATTTTTACAGTCCCTTCTCATGATTTTGATAGAGCCATTGATGAGATGAAACTGATTGTGTCTAATTTAGCTCCACCAGTAAAACACTTCCAAATTCTTCCAACTGAAAGTATTTATTCATCTGATACTGGTGCTAGGAGGCTAAGATTGATGGAATTAATAAATGCTGTTAGCGACGTCACTGGAAAAGAAGACCTTCTGGAGCATCTGCGCATGTTATCTTTGCAGAAGGTTGGATTTTGTATTTTCCTGCTTAATTAAGCATTAGATTAGGGAAAAGACATGTACTTTTAGATTATGCTGTCCACGTAGTGCAGATTGCTGTTGATAATGGATACACCAAGCTCGTGCTAGGAACATGCGCATCACGGATAGCTTGCCATGTCCTCGAAGCCATTGTAAAGGTTTATTCCTCCTCCCTACACCTAACTTCCCAAACAATGATTAAATAAATGTACAGATACATAATGATGTACATAAAAGAATAAATGACAATAAGCCCTTGTTTGAGCCCTCTTTTGAGGAAAAAATGTATTTTTGAATAGTGAGTTTTTGGAGAATCTGTGGTTAGAAAGTAAAAAAAAAATCTATTTACATATAGAATTATTTTATTGGAGGATATGTGGTTGAAAATGAGTTTTGAAAAAATGAATTTTTGGAAAAATGGGGATCAAACAAGAGCTAAAGCAAGAAAAGAAATTTTTTTGGCAAAATGATCATTTCTGTTAGCTAGACTGGATAATCGCCTTCAATTTGTGTTCTTGTATTACTATTTGGTTCAATGGATGTTGTCAGGAGAAAAACTTGGTCAAAATGCAGTAGCTAACGCCAGAAAGCTTTATTACATATGTCGTCCAAAGCTATCACAGTATAAAAAAGAAATATTCTTTTGTCAGGCCAGGCCTACTCATTGGCTGCAGACATCCAGTATGTTGATGCTAGGTGGGAGATACCAGTGGTTCTTCCGCTACGTGATTGTATCTCTAAAGAGCTGAGTCTGCTTTGCAGTCTCGACAGGTTTGTTGCACAAACATGCCACAGATCTTTCCTCTTCCTTGGGGAGGCTGTTTAGTTAGATTTTGTGTCATTTTTCATTTCTTTTTATTATGATGCTGTAATTATTACTTCATGATAGGACTTACTTTATTTTGTGAGGGCAGTTTGAAGAAGGTAGAAACATTTCAGCGACCTCGTGGTGGCATCAATGGCTTAGTATCCTCATTTGTAAAATTATTGCAGGTGGGAATCATGGTCATGGTTAATTTATTGTAGTAAATTTCTGATAAGAGTCTAAAATTTGATGTGTTTTTCAGAAGGAAAATCCTTCACGAGAGAGCACAAATTTAAGAACAGCAGGGAAGCTCGAACCTTTATCTTTCAATAGGATTTTAGAAGTTGATGACTCTAATGGTCAATCGGCTTCTCAGCAGCGGCGGAAGAAATACAATTTGAAGCCTACCGAATCTCATCCTCCCGAAACATTTTGCTCTATATGCCATAGCCCACTTAAGAAATCTGACGCTGCGAGTTTGAATGGCACTGAGAATGCTGAAGCAAGTGTCAGGATCTTTGCAGACACGTGCTCAAGTTGCCAGTATCAGATTCTTCCACTTGAGTCCTCATCTCTGGAATTTTTTCATTCACTCTTGCCACAGCAAATGATTTCTCTAGCAAAGAATAGCGGCCGTGACACGCAGAAGTCGCTAAGGTTAGAGTTTTTATCTGGCCTTGTTTCTATACTAACATATTTAAATAAGTTTCTTACTTCGAAAGTAGCTCTCAGACTAAGTAAAGCTACTATTTCCAATTTTAGTCACTCAAAACATTTATTTATGCAGAAACTTAATTATAAGTTTTCAACCGTAGGTAAAAGTTGCTCCTCGTACCATATACTTCAATGTGTTCCTTTCTTTTCCCCTCTCCAGGGAGGAAATACAAGATTGTTTGTTGTCAGACAGTGAGGATGGAACCTAAATCTGGGCTTTTCGTTTGCCTCCGTCATTTTCAGCATAATGAAGCAGAAGCACTAAGCTGCATTGCTTAATTGCACATAAAGAAGGCGATGAATGGCAGCTCGATCCAGGACAAGAAGATTGAGAAATAATTTTCAACATACTTATGTGATAGATTTGGGCGTTCATTTAGAATCGTAGCAAGAAGCTGGACAAAAGGGTGTGTGATTTTTGAGATGTAATTTTATTTCATAATTTTTTATTTTTTTTTCCATTTTTTTTCGAGATATAGTTCTGTCTCGGGTGTAAGCAATCTTATACACGTGTGGATCTTTTTGTCTTGAACAAACGAATGCTGAATTTAATGTTAGACAAAGCAATTCAAATTTCAAGATCCATTGGAATAGATAAGTATCAAAATAAAAACTATCGCAATCATGTCATATGAAGATTTAGCCGTACACATTCTTAGCAAGTGTGAAAGTCCACGTCACAGCATATCATTATCAACATACAAATTCCCGCATGAAGTCTTTGATGATACCTCCCTCCAGACAAGGAAAATAAATTCACTTCAATTTACTATAAGATCTCAAATATTACCCAAATATTACTTTCATGCGATGAGGCTACAATGCATGATGCTTATATCTCCATGTGAAATGTTTCCCACTAAACTACATACACGCTGCACGATTTTTGCTGATGTTCAGGAAATCAGAGAAAAGATTTCCTCCAAGTGGGTTTCACTTACCAGGACACCAAGTCTTTGGGCATATACGTCATCCTTAGTATCATCTCCGATGCTTTTGATAACATCAGCAGAGGACATTTCCATGTATTCATTCAAGTTGTGTACAGTTCCATCTGCATAAGTAAGCAAAGAAAAAGGGTCCCGGAAACCGCCTCAGACAACCTTAATTAAAATACACAACTGTATTACACGATGCATTATGCATTGTAATTGCATCTATATCATACCCCGTTAGAGTAGCCCCTGTTTGGCACTCTTTAAGATTTTAAATTGTTCGTTACTGTATCATTCTCCATTTGTAATTTTTTTTTTTTTTAATAAATCATTCTTCACTAGTAATTCACACAATAAAATATTTCACGCAAACCAATAAAACCTATTTGCTTTTTAATCACACATTCTCCAAAAAATACTATTCAAAACTATTTAACTTTTCAAATAATGGACAACAAACAGGCGCATAACTTACATAAAAATTTGACAAGCTCAGCAATGAACTCAAAGAAAAATCTTTTTAGCTAGTACAATTAGGATTTCATCCCTATCTTTAAAACATAATGATGTGAATTTTCAACTAGGAACTTTGTTTTTCATCTTATTTTTTTGCCCATGCGATGATGGCGATAGAGCATTGAACTCCATGAGGGTGGGATTGGTGGAAGTGTTGTTACGAAGTGCAGAAAGGAAACAGGCGAAGTGAAAAGGCCCAAGGAAAGAAAAGGAAGTAGAAGACCATAGCAGTTGAAAGGATTCAAGAAGGGAGACCATCGGCAATGAGCATGTTTGGTTAAGCTTAATGGAAAGTAAAAGTTACATTTGAATAACATTTTGTTCCCAAACATATTTGAAAACTTACTTCTGAGTAAAAAAGTTATTTAGATAGGTGAAAGTAGCTCTTGCCCATGTCAAAATAAGCAACTTACTTATTTCCAACTTTTACTAACAAAAAACTTATTTATAGTAAAAGTTACATATTTACTTATAAGAAAACTATTTAGGACTAGCCAAAATGAATGTGAGCTTTTTTGTTTTTAGCAGAAAACTAGGCAATAGCCATAGGCATTGTCGAAATATATTCTCTATGTTCTTATGTCATGCAGGAAATGTAAATGAAAGAAATTCCAGGATTGACCTCAGAATTAAATTTTACAAGGATAATAAGTTCAGGAAATTGATTCAATTTATTCCACCCTTATGTTGTGCTAACCTTGAGGTAAAAAAGATAAAAAGGGACATGTACTGCAATATTGGTTAAGGTACCTGTCTTCCAAGTGTCCTGAAATATATATATAGCCTTCATTTAAGCTAAAGATTTGAATAAAATATGAAAGAACTTTGTTTTGAGTTCTGAAGAAATACATGATCTTACGATGCTATCTAATGTGAGATTAACTAACCTAGAATTGATAAAATGTAGGGGTCTGAAGTTCAAAGCACGAACTTCTAAAGAACTATTTTGCTGCATTTACCTTCAGCAACAATGGCTTCATGTGGAGGCGGGGGATGAAGCCAGTTTCCTGCAGTATCTTTCATGTGTCTTCTATCAGATGCAAAAGATCGGAGGAATATTGGGGCATGCACAATCCGAAAGAACCTGAAATTAAAATATTAAGCGTTTTGTCGAACAAAAAAGGAACTGTTTGAATTATAATTGGGTTATGTACACTCCACAAGTATATTTCATTTTGAGTTTATCAAAAGGAATTTTATCTCCCAATGGGTGTGCTTGTGCATCATATATTACCCACCTACAATAACATAGTGTAACCAGAAAAATGAAGGATATCCAACTAGTCGTACCTCTGAAACTCTGAAAACAGCTGAAATGAAGGCCGAATAGTTTCAGAAACATATGTAGAAAGTGGAGACGGAAAGGGAAGACTTGAATCTAAATCCCACACTAGATGAGGCAGGTTGCTATCTTTTCTTTTCTGTTAGTCATTATGAAAAATAATAGTAAGTTTTCATTATGTAAGCAAAGATAAACTTCTAACCTCTTAAAAAAGTAATTATCTTTTGAGACAAAAATTCTTTAGTTCGGATTTTTATGGTAAAGAAGAAGATATACAACTTATATTGGTTTGCCATATAATGCAAATTTCTTAACTAGATTGTTCCATCATCATGGATAAGCCAGTTAAGTTCTTACCTGTATGCAGATAGCATGGTAATCCCACAAAATAACCCCATCTGCTCTGTGGCTCGCCTTCTGATGCCACAATGGAATCTGATGTAGAACCATAGAACATTTTAATCTTATGAGCATGGTTCAAGGAAATGGTAATTTTATGATCATATTTGCATAATATTCTAGAATGCACAAGACAGTGATTAAGAATAACTTGATTACATGCCTGCTTATTTTCATTGGAAATGAAAATAACAAAGAGGTCAGAACCATCCGATCTTGCTATTCCATCTGCAGCTAGCTTCTTACAGAGCAAGTAAACGTTCTCCTCACTATCAATATAATCACGAAAACAAAAGCAACGAATATTTTAATACTAATGAAATTATCAAAACTAAATTCTAAAGCGAATTCTCCAGATAATAGTAGAAGTTATACTACAAAGTTCATCAGAAAAGAAAAGAACTTAAGACATAACATCCACGTTTATAATCAAGGTATGATCCCTAAAATATAGAATTGCAAATGAATTCATTTGAGAATGTCAATCTTGGAGTTCCTATAGATCTTTGAGCTTTAAACAGATGGAAGTGCTCATTTGAACTTTTTGGCTACCGTATCTTCAAATGCCAACTTTTCAACGAGAGTTGCCCGAGTCCGCTAATTATTGTTATTTAATCCAAGAATGATCCACGACAGTAAACAGCATCGAGAACCGACGAACATACAAAAATTTGAAAAACGTAAATCAAGTAATTACTCAAAAAGTATATTTTTATACCCAAACACACATGTATATATAGTTTCATATATAGAATGAATCAAGAGAGAGTGCTTACCAGTAAAATGGGGTGTGGTGAAAACGGGGAATGTCCGCGGATTCACTGACTGATGAAGACGAATCCAAATTCGAAGTCGACATTTATTGCTATATTATAAATATTTTTAGCTTTATTTTCCAGTTTCGTTTGCTTCAACTTCGGGGCAGAGCCTGCAAGTCAGCTAGGCCTAGGGCGGAACAATTGCAGGACAAGCGACGTCGTGCTGGCCACCAGTGATTTTGCACTTTGACCCTAAATTTTCATTCCCTTCGAATTGTGCCCGTGAACTCAGGAAAATCACAGATAAATATTAGATAATTGGCGCAAAAAAGTTCATATCCTTTGTCTATTTTGCACAAATCTTGCATATCCTTTTAATTTAGCGTATTTTACCCTCAAATCAAGTAAAAGTTACACAAAATGTACTTGAACTCCATTTCTTCCATTAAAGTTTTGTAATATAATGATTTTATCCTCCTTCTTAATTTTAAATAAATAAAAAGAAAAGAACGAAAGGCAAAATGTTATATGAAAATATCATTCTTAAGGAGAAGATTCCATTGCTAATTTCACCTTTCTTCAATTCAATCTTGATAAATTTAAACACAGTACAAAGAGAAAGTCAAAATATCATATGAAGAACACAGATAAATTAGAGAGCGCATTAATTTTACAAGTTTTGCTTGTTTTCTTTCAGGTCTTAAACCGTTTTGTTTCTTTTCTTTAATATATTGTGTTTTACACTAGAGTGGTTTTAACAAAGTTCATCGGTTCCTAATTGGTCTAAATTAGTGGCTCCTTCTTCTAATTATTATGTCATTTCTAGAGATTTTGTCTAGCTCTACTCCTTTGTACTTTGTTTATGCTTTCAATTAAAATTGTTGCTGGTTTCAATTGTTTGATTATTTTGAAAAAAAAAAAAAAGAAATTTGAAAAAAGAGGGAAAAAAAAAAATCTTCCACTCCAATCCACCCCACCTCCTGTCGAAATACCTAAAATTAGTGTCATTTGTCATTTACTGCCAATCACTTTAAGGTAGGTTGGAAAAGAGAAAAAAATATAGTTATTCAAAGATGAGGGTAATTTTATCTTTTTCTCTTAAAGAAAAAGAAAAATATAGTTAACTAAGGTAAGTCATCTACCAAGGACCTAAATGCTACTAAAATAAAATTAAAAAAAATGGAGGATGTAAATTCTCCATTTTGAAGAATTAGGACCAAGGTGCATTGCGTGTCAAAGTTTCGGTACCTTAGCAGCTATATTTCCTTTTTGAAATAATTCTTTCCAATTAAATGGGAGTGAAATAAATATTTTATTAATAAATCATATAAAAAAGGACAAAAAATTCAGAAAATACGAAGAAAGTAGGGAAATTTCACTATCGGTCCCTATATCATCAATCTAGTAAAAAAGTCACTCTTTAACTTCAAAATAAGCAAATTAATTTCCAACCTCTTATTAATTCATCTAATTTCTATTAAATCTCATATTTTTGGTTCTTTATTACTAGTTAGACATATGAAATAAGAATTTAGACCTAGTTTGGTACGAATTAAAATATAAATTTTAATTTAAATCAAAATCAACAATTAATTTTAATCAAATATTTGATGTAATTTACAACTTTTAATCACATATTTAATCAATTTTTATCAAAATCTACTAAAAATAGGATTTTAAACTCCACCAAACATGGTCTTAATATAATTTTGGACCATGTTTATGAAAGATTTGTTATGTAATTATCTTACAGCATCTTAAAGGGACCTTTTAAGCATAAAATGTTTGCTATTTTAAGAGTAAACTGTTAAAATTATACTCCAAAAATACTATTTAAATTAACATTTCAAAATAGAAAGTGGCTCTAGCTTTCCAAATTCACCCTTTATAATTCAATAAGCAAAAGAGGTAAGTGTAACGTACCTGTTTTAAGCTTAACCAAACGTGCTGAAAAAGTGTTACGTTTGCAGCTATATATATAGTGTCTAGCTGTCCTGAGCATCTTTGACCATCTTCAGGGTGGCTCTTCAATTTGTGCATGAGATGCAACACAAAGCACAGAAGAACTTTGATGCAAGTAGAGATGAATCATTACCAGTATTTGGGGTTGGTGTTGCTTATATTGATGAGAGAGCAATTTTTACAGTCCCTTCTCATGATTTTGATAGAGCCATTGATGAGATGAAACTGATTGTGTCTAATTTAGCTCCACCAGTAAAACACTTCCAAATTCTTCCAACTGAAAGTATTTATTCATCTGATACTGGTGCTAGGAGGCTAAGATTGATGGAATTAATAAATGCTGTTAGCGACGTCACTGGAAAAGAAGACCTTCTGGAGCATCTGCGCATGTTATCTTTGCAGAAGGTTGGATTTTGTATTTTCCTGCTTAATTAAGCATTAGATTAGGGAAAAGACATGTACTTTTAGATTATGCTGTCCACGTAGTGCAGATTGCTGTTGATAATGGATACACCAAGCTCGTGCTAGGAACATGCGCATCACGGATAGCTTGCCATGTCCTCGAAGCCATTGTAAAGGTTTATTCCTCCTCCTTACACCTAACTTCCCAAACAATGATTAAATAAATGTACAGATACATAATGATGTACATAAAAGAATAAATGACAATAAGCCCTTGTTTGAGCCCTCTTTTGAGGAAAAAATGTATTTTTGAATAGTGAGTTTTTGGAGAATCTGTGGTTAGAAAGTAAAAAAAAAATCTATTTACATATAGAATTATTTTATTGGAGGATATGTGGTTGAAAATGAGTTTTGAAAAAATGAATTTTTGGAAAAATGGGGATCAAACAAGAGCTAAAGCAAGAAAAGAAATTTTTTTGGCAAAGTGATCATTTCTGTTAGCTAGACTGGATAATCGCCTTCAATTTGTGTTCTTGTATTACCATTTGGTTCAATGGATGTTGTCAGGAGAAAAACTTGGTCAAAATGCAGTAGCTAACGCCAGAAAGCTTTATTACATATGTCGTCCAAAGCTATCACAGTATAAAAAAGAAATATTCTTTTGTCAGGCCAGGCCTACTCATTGGCTGCAGACATCCAGTATGTTGATGCTAGGTGGGAGATACCAGTGGTTCTTCCGCTACGTGATTGTATCTCTAAAGAGCTGAGTCTGCTTTGCAGTCTCGACAGGTTTGTTGCACAAACATGCCACAGATCTTTCCTCTTCCTTGGGGAGGCTGTTTAGTTAGATTTTGTGTCATTTTTCATTTCTTTTTATTATGATGCTGTAATTATTACTTCATGATAGGACTTACTTTATTTTGTGAGGGCAGTTTGAAGAAGGTAGAAACATTTCAGCGACCTCGTGGTGGCATCAATGGCTTAGTATCCTCATTTGTAAAATTATTGCAGGTGGGAATCATGGTCATGGTTAATTTATTGTAGTAAATTTCTGATAAGAGTCTAAAATTTGATGTGTTTTTCAGAAGGAAAATCCTTCACGAGAGAGCACAAATTTAAGAACAGCAGGGAAGCTCGAACCTTTATCTTTCAATAGGATTTTAGAAGTTGATGACTCTAATGGTCAATCGGCTTCTCAGCAGCGGCGGAAGAAATACAATTTGAAGCCTACCGAATCTCATCCTCCCGAAACATTTTGCTCTATATGCCATAGCCCACTTAAGAAATCTGACGCTGCGAGTTTGAATGGCACTGAGAATGCTGAAGCAAGTGTCAGGATCTTTGCAGACACGTGCTCAAGTTGCCAGTATCAGATTCTTCCACTTGAGTCCTCATCTCTGGAATTTTTTCATTCACTCTTGCCACAGCAAATGATTTCTCTAGCAAAGAATAGCGGCCGTGACACGCAGAAGTCGCTAAGGTTAGAGTTTTTATCTGGCCTTGTTTCTATACTAACATATTTAAATAAGTTTCTTACTTCGAAAGTAGCTCTCAGACTAAGTAAAGCTACTATTTCCAATTTTAGTCACTCAAAACATTTATTTATGCAGAAACTTAATTATAAGTTTTCAACCGTAGGTAAAAGTTGCTCCTCGTACCATATACTTCAATGTGTTCCTTTCTTTTCCCCTCTCCAGGGAGGAAATACAAGATTGTTTGTTGTCAGACAGTGAGGATGGAACCTAAATCTGGGCTTTTCGTTTGCCTCCGTCATTTTCAGCATAATGAAGCAGAAGCACTAAGCTGCATTGCTTAATTGCACATAAAGAAGGCGATGAATGGCAGCTCGATCCAGGACAAGAAGATTGAGAAATAATTTTCAACATACTTATGTGATAGATTTGGGCGTTCATTTAGAATCGTAGCAAGAAGCTGGACAAAAGGGTGTGTGATTTTTGAGATGTAATTTTATTTCATAATTTTTTATTTTTTTTTCCATTTTTTTTCGAGATATAGTTCTGTCTCGGGTGTAAGCAATCTTATACACGTGTGGATCTTTTTGTCTTGAACAAACGAATGCTGAATTTAATGTTAGACAAAGCAATTCAAATTTCAAGATCCATTGGAATAGATAAGTATCAAAATAAAAACTATCGCAATCATGTCATATGAAGATTTAGCCGTACACATTCTTAGCAAGTGTGAAAGTCCACGTCACAGCATATCATTATCAACATACAAATTCCCGCATGAAGTCTTTGATGATACCTCCCTCCAGACAAGGAAAATAAATTCACTTCAATTTACTATAAGATCTCAAATATTACCCAAATATTACTTTCATGCGATGAGGCTACAATGCATGATGCTTATATCTCCATGTGAAATGTTTCCCACTAAACTACATACACGCTGCACGATTTTTGCTGATGTTCAGGAAATCAGAGAAAAGATTTCCTCCAAGTGGGTTTCACTTACCAGGACACCAAGTCTTTGGGCATATACGTCATCCTTAGTATCATCTCCGATGCTTTTGATAACATCAGCAGAGGACATTTCCATGTATTCATTCAAGTTGTGTACAGTTCCATCTGCATAAGTAAGCAAAGAAAAAGGGTCCCGGAAACCGCCTCAGACAACCTTAATTAAAATACACAACTGTATTACACGATGCATTATGCATTGTAATTGCATCTATATCATACCCCGTTAGAGTAGCCCCTGTTTGGCACTCTTTAAGATTTTAAATTGTTCGTTACTGTATCATTCTCCATTTGTAATTTTTTTTTTTTTTAATAAATCATTCTTCACTAGTAATTCACACAATAAAATATTTCACGCAAACCAATAAAGCCTATTTGCTTTTTAATCACACATTCTCCAAAAAATACTATTCAAAACTATTTAACTTTTCAAATAATGGACAACAAACAGGCGCATAACTT